TTTTTTTTAAATACGTATAACGATACGTATCACGTACGTGGTCACGTGACCCCGATTTCGGGTCACCGACCATTTTCGTGGGAATTCGAATTCCCGTAAGTCACGTGACTTCGCCGTTCGATCGGAGTTTCAAACTCCGTTTCGGCAGAGTTTGAAACTCCTTCAATTTCGCAGGAACGCGAAATCCGAAGTCACGTGACTTCATCGGAGTTTCAATTCGCCTCTTCGTTCTCTTCTTTCTAAGTTTCTTTGCTTTTTTACACTCTTTGCTATTTTTGCTATTTTTTCACTTCCCCACTCCACACCCACTTCCCAACTCTCACACCCACCTCCCCACTCCCTCCGTCCCTCTCCCACTTCCCCACACTCTCTCCCACCCACCCTTCGTCCCTCCCTCTCTTTCACCCTTTCTCTTTGAAAAAAACCACCTTTTTTTTTTTTTGTCAATTCCGGTCACTAATTTAACAAAAAAAAAAAAAGGACGGTTATAATAAAAATACCTGCTTCGCAGGTATTTTTAATATAACCGTCCTGCTTAATAAAAAATTAGTGACCGGAACTCCCAAATAGTAGAGGGTGGATAATTGGTTCTCAAGATTTTGAATAAGCTGTTCAAGCTCATCAATATTTTCAGATATTTTAAATAATAAATAAATAAATAAATTATAAATAAACTCCTTATTTATCTTTTTTTTTAATAAAACTAAAATAATATTTATTAATTTAATTCCTAATTAAATTCAAAATTCGAAAAAAATTCTATTTCTATTTATAGATTAATTATTTAAATGAATTAAAGTTATAAAAGATGTGTATAATGCACACAGAAGACTAATTTCTTTGTGAAATTTCCAAAAGCAAATACTAAAATAAAAATATAAATAATATGCCTTTTTTCCTTATAAATCTATCAAAGATAGTAAATTCGAAAAACATCTTCAAAATGGCATCATCAAACACCCCTGGCTTCAAATACCTAAAGTTTTTTAAGCCTGATTTTTACACAAAAATTGCGGGTTTGCTAAAAGAAGGTTCAACACTCAAAGATGTTATCACTCTTGTATTGCAGAATCCAGAACAAGAGAAAGAAATCTTGACTGAATTTAAAGTCAAGGCCATGAAAAATGATGAAATACAAGTGTTTGGTTTCGAAAATGAATCAGATAATGATAATGGATGGCTTAATTTTTTTTTTTTTTTTTTTTAAGAAAACCTCTTTGCCTGAAAGCTTTTATTAGGATTTGAAACGGTGTTTTATACGCAATTACAACGATAGTACATTAAGCCACACGTGTACCTTTTGAGTATCTAATTTAAGTAGTCCGCCCGAAGGTTCTACACTATCTGCCGTACCTGCACCCCAACTAGGGGAGTGCCCATTTAA